AGTCGGCGAAATTTACTTAAGTCGCGAAATTGCTAATTTCTCGATCGGGATCGCCCTCGGGTTTCGCGACACGGGATGGGAGCGTGACGTTCATGCGTGGGTGCGTGCTCGTGCATACGTGCACGCGCGAGCCCCGCCGTGCGTTTTGCGAGAGAACAGAAAGACCGTGGTGTACTGGAGATGGAACGAAACGAAACGAACGTATATTTCCAGAACAAATATTTACGCGAAAGAGGTATAAAAAGAGCGAAAATGTGTTTTCTGTTTGATTTGCGACTGTATTTTTCTTTCCGGTCCAACGGCCCTCTCCTCCACCTCCGCCCCCCTGCTGCCCCCCCTCCCCCCGCCGCCGCCATCACTCAGGCAACCACCCAACCACTCACTTACTCTCGACTAGCTCTCCCCTCTTCCGCGTTTCCTCGCGGATCCTCGTCGCCCTCGCCCGCGGTGGGCGGACAGAAGGGTGCACCCACGAGAGGTAGAGAGGGACAATCCTGCGGGCATAGGTTACAGACGTATATACGTAGCCGTCGAATTGATGTTTCGAGCAGTTTTGAGCGATGGAACGAGACAGCGGCGGCGTCGTCCTTCCCTGGCCGCCGAAGAAGATGCGGAAGTAATTTCGCTTCTCGCATCAATTCGTCATTCTCGATGTTTTCGCCTCGCTCCCCCCTACCCTTCCGCATCTGCCTCTCTTGAGGCCGCGGGTCGAGATAAACTACGGTTCCTCGGCTACTTTCGCCACCGCGAAAACCGCGAAACCGCCCGGTGGTTTTATCCCCGTCGGAGCCGACGACGATGACGGCGCAAGTCTCCTCGCGCGTTGCGATACTCTTCGCTTGTTATACGCGAGCGAGCGAGCGAGCTTTTCACCTAGGCCGGCAAAAGTCTGCGTCTAATCCAATAGTAATCTCTCTGCTATCTCGGCAATTCACAAACTTCGCTAATTATTCCCACCGCCCCCCGCCCCGCTCGCTCGCTCGTGCTCGCATCGGAGAAGTTTCGCCGTAGCTCTCTCGTAGACGGTGCATCTCCGAGATAATGCAGGCGGCCGAAAGAAGGAAAGGGGGGCACGTGTGCCGCACGCGTCGAGTGCCAAATATCTCGGCGCTATTTACGTCCCGGTATTCCGGAGGGCGCGGGGATTTCCCGCGCGGAACGTCCCTGATCACCGACTGATCCGGCGAATAATACGCTCGCCGACGCGAGACCGCGGCAGGAGGACGGAAGGGAACGCGATAGCTCGTACGTACGTACTTGGGAACTTTACATTTCAGAAATTTCGCGATACGTGTATCGGCTATCTATCAAAAGTTTCGCGCTGGTCATGTGTCTCCGCGCGCGCGGATACGTACGCGTCGAATGAAAAATGCGGCGCACACGATGACAGATCGCGAGACGAAGGACGGGGAAAGGATATTACGAGTCTTTCTCTTGGAACGCGTGTCACTGTAAAATCTTGTCGTCGTCATCGACTTTGTTCTACATAGGTTCTACGCACACATGTCCGACCAATTACATACGCGATTGCGCTCCTGAAAGATTCATGCTAAAACAGACGCCGTACGATGCGTTGTATAATTTACGAGTGACTTACGTATGGGGGTGTGTGTGTATGTGTGCAGGCAGCGCTCTCGGGACGCCCGCGAGCGATCGATATCGCAGTAACGATACTTTGTTTTCAGATCGCGACCAAGTTGCGGATTGATTGACTCCGGAGCTCCGCTGCCTCCCGCGCACGACGTCGTGATACTTATAAATTAATATCTAAGTGTAGAGAATTGGCGATGTTAATGTCACGCTTCGACGTTGGAATAAATGTACAAGATCAGTCCGGAGACCCGAGAAGCGTTCATTCGCGCGGCTCAACCTGCATCCTTAACGCGTGCGACGCAACGATCTCTCATGAGACACCAGTGTCACGCGTGTGTGTGTATGTAAAATAGCAAAAATTTTCCCCCTGTATCCGCATCAAACTAAAGATGCTTTCCAGGAACATACACGTTACGCAAAGGACAGGCTTCACTTAACGATCGCGGGCATCGTATTTTATCTTTGCTTTTCTCCTGGACGTTAAACAGAGACTATGACTGACGTTAGACAGAGACGATGCTCGTCAAGTGAAACCTATTCAAAGTCGTCTTTTATCGGTTAAATATTACCTCAAAATGATCCTAAGATAATATCTGCCCGCGATGAAACGATTTTATGTAACGGTGGCGCAGGTTACTGGAAAGCAAGTCTATTTTACATAATTACGTAAAAAGAGAAAAACGAAATGCGAGGCGGTCTACGGGGAGAGAGAGAGAGACCTCTCCAAATAAACCCCAGCGGCGCGCGAACGTGTTGAGCTTTACGTAAAGCGCGGAACAGTCGGTGCGTAACGTTACACAATATCCGTCCTCTCTTTTCTCATTGCGGAATTACGACGGGTGGCTAACGGCGCCGGTCGATTACGGAATTCGTTCTGCGTAACGATCGCATCGCGATCGAGCCTCGAGATAGAGCGAGAGTCGCGGCCGAGCGTGCCTTTAATCGCGATTGCCCTCGAGAGGACCAAGGGACCATCCGTCGCGTCGCGAGGAACGCTGACGAGACACGCGAGCGAGACTCGCGAGCGCCCGTTGAAACGGAAAGACCGAATGAGCGAGGATTCGAGCAGTTGCGTCGGTGGTCCGAGCCGCGGTTTAGTCAAGTCGAAGGGTTGGCTGCCGCCGCGTGCCACGCTGTTATCGATTCCTTCCTGCCACTCTCTCGCCCCTTCCGCCCACCTATCTCTTCCTATCCACCCGCTTTCCTTCCTTCTTCGCTTAAACACGCGTTATTGCTCGTCTCCGCGTAATCGAGCATCCGATCCGATGCCACCTCCGCTCGCGCGCGCGACGCTCGATGATTTCTCGGTCTCATCCTGCCGCGACTCGTTGTTGTTTAAACGAAGGTAAGAGTCGCGTATCTTTCCGGCGAATCCGACTTTTGCCGATCCGAACGTCGATGATCCACGTTCCACCTGAGAGCAAGGGGGAATCTACCGATTCCGTCATTATTTTGTACTATATAGAGCGACGTGTGTATTTGCAGAGTTGTATTTGCAAAGTAGTATATTTGCAGAGAGGCGGAGGAATACGTAATTAAGGTCTCGCATAGTCCAGATGTTAAAATTGAGTTGTTCCCCTCGTCGATGGCTCCCCGCGGGGGAGCTTTATCTCATATCGACGGTGCGGCACGCTACGGCGCGCCGAGAACGCCCGGCTCGCTGCCACGTCGTCGCGACGCTCGTCGGCCGAAATTTGCGTCTAAATCTGCGATCCGACCGTCGAAAAAGTACGACGACAATGAAAAGTGGCTTCGCTGTCCAGGAGAGCGGATAGTAAGGACGTCGTCCATCCGGGACTGTCCGGGGGCGGAAGGAAGACAACGTCGTCGGACGAGCGAGCGAGAGAGAGAGAGAGAGAGAGAGAAACCATCGAGGGGAGCAAAGGATCCGGGTCAGGGGTGGTGGCCGCGGCGGTGAGGTGAGGCGCGGCGAGACGTGGCGAGACGAGGTGAGGTGAGGTACGACGGTGGCGACGACGACGGTCGCGTGCTGGTCGCGTGCCGGAGGCGGAGCCAAGCTCCACCGCTCCGCGTGCCACCCCCAACCCCAAACCTGCGATCCTCTGCCCCGCCACTACCCTCGCTCCGTGCGCTCCCTCGTCGGTTATTGATTCCCCCGGGTAGCTACCCCCATGGGGTGCTAAAGTGGGATGAGTAGGACGGTGGGTAGATGGAGTGGCGCTCGGAAGGGTACGGAAACAACGGGACGTCTTGAAATTGCAACAACCAGCCGTGGTGATTACTTTTTTGAGCACCTGCTCTCTCTCTCTCTCTCTCTTCCATTCTTTCTCGCTCTCGTTCGCTCAGTCACTCGTTCTCTTTATCGCTCGAGTGATGACCGAACGTGTGCTCACCCTCCTCTTTCGGTGTAGAGACAAATGCTTAGCGAGTAATAAGGAGGGAAGAAGCGGCGATGTTACGTCTTAATCTCTCGTCGCTCCGGATTACTCGCCCTTCCCGATTTGTTACTCTTACTCCGTCCGTTCTTTTCGGAGTCTTATTCTATTCGTGCCCCTCGCAGCATAATGCGGAAAAGAGATTCTTCATTTATAGACGTTATTAACGATCTCACGGCGGATTGGAAGAGAGGGAAAGGGAGAGGCTGGGAATATACGCGAAGTTCAGAGTCAGTCGAGGATAGAAAGAGGCAGTCGGTCGAATAGACTTACCGGCTATGAGAGAGCAACGTCGTTGAATCTTTGGAACGACCTAGATTTTTCCAGTCCTTCTGGACCGGGGCCAGCGACGATACAACCATGCTACGTTGCACTTGCATTGTACGCGTACGCAATACAAGGGAATCGGAGGAAAAGGCGACGGCACAATAGAACCGGATTTTCGGCCATTAAATGCTCTTTAAGCGGTGGGCTCCCTTCGATCCTAATTCAACGATACTTACCGTATAGGCCTATGTGCATGAGAAGCTCCCGATTGACTCGGGATAATTATACGCCACGTTAATACACCGACCGTTATATCGGCTGTTTTCGGAGCGTTCGACTTGTCCGATTAATTAGTTTCGCCCGTTTCTTTGGCCGACATCCGCGTGCCGCGGATAGCAGTGATCCGCGGAGGAGAAGGAGGAGAAGAGTGGCGGTTGTCCCGGAAGAAATGGAGGGAAAGCGGTAAAGAAGAATACCCTCAAAGAGAATCGCGCGTCGTCGTCGGGTGGGGGTGGGATGGAATTGTGAAAAGGGGTAAGCGTTATGAGAGGAAGGTCCTCGACGCGACGAAGAACTGCGGCGCGGTTGGAAAGGGTAGCAAGCGGAAAGGGAACAACAGAAAGGAAGAAAGAGAACTAGAAAACAAGCGCGAGCGAGCGAACGAATGAAACAGAGAGAGAGAGAGAGAGAGAGAGGAACGGGCTAAAGTGGACGAGGGGGAAGAGCGCCAAGTATGTAGAAGGGCGGAGACAGACGTAAAGAGAGAAAGAGGGAAAGACAGAGAGAGAGAGAGAGAGAGAGAGAGATATGTATATATATATCTGATACGAAGAGGAGAGCGGGCAAGATGGAGACGAGGTAGGTAGTTACGGCGAGGGGGTGCCGGAGGTGGAAAAGAGGGTGAGCCGGAGGTGGTTGTGGGTGAGGTGAGGTGAGGCGAGGAATAGTGGGAGAGCGCGATGGGTATACGACGGAAGAATATTGCCTGCAGCTTTATGGCTCTTAGAGGACACAGACTTTTACGATTATTAATCCCTCCGTTTCCCATAGATCCGTTCACCGGCTGTATTCTCTT